CGTTATCTCACTGCATTACAAAAAAAATTTCACTTCCTGTAATGTTCATTATTCGTTATAGTATGAGATATACATATACATAATGTAACCATATATATGTATACATATATATACATGTATATATGTATATATATATATCACCTTTTAAAATAAAGTGGCCATTCCTTTAAAAAAATTATGCCTATAATAAATGTTGCTGCTTCTAGGTTTTTTTTTCCCTATGGTTATTTCTTTCAAGATAAAGTGTTCCATGGTGCCAAATGTTTGCCCTCAACTATTCTAGCAGTACATGTAATAGCCTGTGCATTATGTGATAGGTACATAGGAGATTTGTCGATTTGCTATACTTCCATCAGTGAAACCACAATTTTATACTGATTTTCTTTTACCACTTATTTCTCTCCCCTCCCCTCCTCGTGCTTTCTTTCCTTTCCTCTCCTGGTCTTCTCTTTCCCACAGTATTCCTCATTTTCACTTTCTTTTTCTTTCCTTCCTGTTTTGTCTTCACTCAGAGTCATGATTATTGATTTCACTTAAAATGCATTTTCAATCTGAAATATTTGACATTAAAATGCTGGTTCTGGGGGCTGAAGAAATAGTTTGGTGGTTAAGAGGATGTACTGCTCTTGTAGTTCATTTCCCAACACCCAAGTCAGGCAGCTTACAACTGCTTGTAACTCCAGCTTTAGGATATCCATCACCCTTTTCTGGACTCCAGAAACAATACACTCAAATGTACCAATCCCCAACACACACACACGCATATGTACACACACACACACACACACACACACACACACACACATAAAAATTAAAATCAAACCTTTTTAAAAAGAAAGTCTAAAAACAATGCTGGTTCTAGCCATTGAACACATAAACTTCAGACTTGGATTTAGCATTTATTAGTAAGATAAACCTTAATAAATTTCTAAAAGTCTGTGTGCCCTAGAAATTACATTTATAAAATGGAGCAAATAACAGTACTTGTATAATAGTTTCCTTTCATGTTTGATTATTAAGTTGGCTAAGTATAATCTTCTAACATGAATATTTGTCATAATAATTTTGAAGGCAATTTCCCCATAGTCTTAGCTATCTGATTGCAAAGTGCATGGCTCTTGTTCTCTTTGCTTCATTTTGATTCACCTCATCAGTAACCTCTGCCATCAAAAATGTACAGTCATCTTAATCTTTGGAATATTGAAGAAATATTTCTTTGTTTTGACCATGTGTTTCCTGTTAATGTCACACATCTAGAACTTAGCAGATAGAGAAGCTCCACACAGGTAGAGCTCATGCTTACTTAACTTGCTAGAATAAATGTACCATATTGTGTTGTGTTTGCACTCAACATGCATTTAATAAATATATTTAGATGAATAAATTTATGAACTCTCCAAAGTCTAAATGATAACAATATCCAATGATCCAAACATTAAATTCTACTATATTTAAAACCACTTTAACAAATATAACTAATACTAGACTTAAGATGAGTCTACAGAGTATCTGCTATTTCATCCATCTTCTCAAAGTACTAGGATCTTTGCACTTTGGGGGACATGTTGAAACAGGGTCTCCATGTGACCTCAGATGGTCTGGAACTTACTATGTAGACCAGGCTGCCTCAATCTCACAGAGATCTGCATGCCTCTGCCTTCCAAGTGCTGGGATTAAAGTCCTATGCCACTATTTCTAGCTTGTACAAATACTTTGGATGGTCTTGAAACAAACAGGGAAAACCAGCCCTCTCTCTCCCAAAGATAAAAGCTGAAATCATTTAGAAAGGAGTGGGAGAACAGAAACTACACTTGAGATTTGACAGTGAAGTCCAGGATTCTCCCTTCATCCTGCCCTGGGGTGGATTATTCACTGAAAGCCTGTGAAGTCCAGTGTTTCCTGTCCTTCCCTCCTCTTGGAAGTCACTTATCATACGTGACCTTCACTTTCCCAGGGCCTCAGCAGCCACTATGTTTATCTCATTCTTGGCCTCCACTTTGGACCGCCATTTTATTCTTATACTCCTAAACAAATTTAATCACATTTATATAAATAAAAATACTACACATGGTAGCTGAATGAAAAGTAAAACATCTTGTTGCTTAATGAAAAATGTGTTTCATAGTAAAAAGTGGAAAGCAATTGGAGAAAGGTTGTATGTGTTTGGATAATCTGAAAGACTCTCTTCTCTATTCAGGACTTTCACCAATTATGATCTTCTGGATTCAAAATCACTTTATCTCTAGGTCCTTTACATAAGTATTTATCATGGAACATCATCTATTTTTTTTAAATTAAGTTTTCATGGTTTTCAATGGTATAGTATTAGAGAAATAATCTTAAATTCTAGATATACAAAAATACTTGAAATAATTTCTTTTTAATAAAGTGCATTTGAATCTTCTCATTTTGGAAAATAAATTCTAGTTTCACATGATTTTTAGTTCATGGAAAATTTTAAATAAATTATTTTCCTAGGGCTTTCTGAAAACATAACTTCTTAGACAAAAGTTACCATGGGTTATTCTCTTAATACAGCTAAAATCTGAGACACTTTTCTCAGCTCTTTTTGCAAACTTGACTATAGTTAGAGTTATTTCAACATTACAAAAAGCAAAAATTAAGCTGAAGAATTTTAAACCTTGTCAAGATGCCACAGATTCTCCTGGAAACTGAAGCCCAGGATCCATAACCACAGCTTTTGATACACTAGGAGGATCAGTTTTCATAATTCAGCAACATGAAAAGTCAATACAGTGCCTCTTTTTTCTACTTTTGATGGAACCTAAAAAAGAAAAAGGACTCCCCTATTGATTTGATGTAAGAAACAATAGATTCCAACTTAGTAAAACTCCAAATAGATGACATTGAGGATACATTTTAGATGCTAGTATGACAATGAAATTTTTACACACAGAATTGCCTGTGATTAGTTTTAAAAGGAGACCTCAAATAAAGGAGGAAAGAAAAGTAAAATATATGATCACATGTAATTTACAAATGCTGATGTCTACTTTCTGCAAAAAAAAAAAATATTGAAAGGATAAAAGCTTCATCACAAATCTGGTTACTTTATAAAATGGAGAGTTCCTAAGGCACTCAGATCTGAGTATAGCTATATATAGATTTGTTTTCTAGAATGCATTTTGCTCATCTGCCAGAATAATCCAGATTATATCATAATGATAAAAGCAACTATTTATGAATCTGAGTCTTGTAATTTATTTCTCATTCTTACCTACATATGGTCAAAAAGTAAATAATATTTAAATTTAGAATTTTTCTCTAGAAAACTACTCAGGAAGACCAGTAAAGAAACTTCATGTTTCATTTCAAATATGGAATGCACTGAATGTGAGAACTTGAAATGATCACCAAGGATCCATAGCTACTCTGCATTTTACAGATGGCACTACTGTATCTACAGAGTTTAAAGAGCCTTTGCACTTGAGGACACATACCCAAAGTAAGCTAGTGAGTGCCCTGCCCACTGTACCACAGAGGTCCTTACCCTTGAGCAGCTTGATGAATTTGGGAGCCAGTTACAATGACAGTAATGTAAATATACTCCAGTAACATTTTTATTTAAAACAGAGCATCTCTTTGGATAAACAATATGTTCTTTATAAAACAGTATGCCTGTTCTGATGATGTAGAAACTTGCAGTTATAAAGACAATAGAATGTTTAAGTTGTTACTCTAGAAAACTGCTAGGCAAATCGCTTTGGCTTTTGTATTGTTATGAAGTTACCTGTTCCACTTAAATATAGTGTATGAAAGGTTGCAATATATTCAATGACAAAAGCCATTATGTGCAATATATAGAATGAATAATTCATGAGCTAGTATGTTTCTGCACAAAGAATATTTAAGATTCTAAGGAAAAAAAACATAAATAAAACTGTACTACCAAAAAAATACTAGATGTCAAAATTTTTCTCCAGCGAGGCCAATATTGCTTATACTGTCTTCTGATATTTGTATTCTGAGAACATAAAAATATTCTATCCATTGTAATTTCAGCAAAACATTATTTTACATACTAATATCATGATAACAATCGATTTTAACAGTGGTAAAAGTAATTTACAAAGTCATGCTTCTGTCTTCATAGTAACTGTACTTTACTGAAGCCCTAAACAACACTAAAGAATACAATAATATAACTTTGAATGCACATTGATTTACAACAAGTTTCATGATAAGTAACTAGACCTTTAGAGTCTATATACCTTAACTAACACAAGACAACTTCGCCCACACTCTGTCTTTTCCACAATCCAGGTGTGAGCATTTTCTTTCCCTACCAGAATGACTTCAAAGTTTTTTGAAAGATATTACAGTCCAGTACTGTTCCTGTTAAGGCTGGAGATTTGTGATTGATATTATCACACGCAAATACAGCCAAGACATTCTTATTTTCATACATTTTAAAATTACTAGCTGACAACCAGTTAAAATAAAGACCATCCAAAGCTAATTCTAATAAAATATACAGAGCTGTTTCTGAGATTTATATATCACACATTTTCAATGCTGATAGACTTTTTAGTCATATACATCCAGCAGCATACACACGCACACACACA